AGACCTGGAGGAACAAGAATATGTGATTATGTAGTTAAGGACTCTTGTAAATGCATACATACAAGGTGGCAGAGTTAAGGTTGCACAAGTAACCTTAACTTCGTAATTTCTTGATTTTGGAATGCTTCAGTTTGAATGTGTAGACCCTGATCCTGCAACTGGATCTACATGGGCTGATCCCTGCATCAGCAAGGATGCCCATAGATATAAAAAAATTAACTAACTTCCTTGTATGACTGTGAAGTGCCAACAGTGTTGAAAGATTGTTTAAAAACAGCTGTCAGAACATTTTTTAAGGAACATATTATCCTCTCCATCTTCAAGTGTGAAGTAATATCTTGGTTGATCCTGGCCATTACACATTAGCTTTTGGATCCTTGCTGTTTTCATGTTTAATATATAACATTTTTAATATTAAACACTAAAACAGTAAGGATCCTTTTATATATAAAAATTATGATGGTAAGAGTCTCCTGCATGAAGATAGTTCTACCTATTGTGGAAATAGATAGAAGTGCATGAGGAGAGAAAGACAGATAAGCCTTACAGCAAAAAATACTTAGGACTCTAGTCTCTTCTGAAAGTCTGCAGGGCCCAGGCATAGTCTGTTAAAAATATTGCTGTTCTAGAAAAACTAGACAGTCTAACCCCATTGGACCATACTGTGAATCTCTATTCATTTCAATGGGGAGCTCTGCTTAATAACTGATGGCATGATTTGGCCCATTATTTGGATCCGGGTGATAATTATTCCCCATTGAAAAATGTGAACTGATTTTTAGGGGTAAGTGATTCTACTTCTGCTGTACTTGCATGCAATCCCTGGAAATATGACAGAAAATTAAAGATAACATATGGTAACTATGTTATTACACTTGGAGGAATACTTTAAAAACACTTAAACTAAATACAAAGTAGTTGCATTGCAGAAAAGAAAATGTACCATAATGAAACAATAACCATTACTGTAAAAAGAGCAGGTTAAGCACCATCAAGGAATGCCACTTCCTCAAATGCAGTTAAATTAGGTAAGGCAACATTCAGGATTTTAAGCCAGGGAATGCTGGAGCACAGAGGTGCTATAGGCTTGCCTCCTCCATTTTTATTACACTAACAATTGAGCTTGTCTTCTCTTTTCCAGGGTTCTTGGAATTTTTCTCAACAACTCCATTTTCTTCCTTTTTTGGAAACTCTCTTACCTCCAGCTTTGACTGCCTGAGGGAGTCAAAGGAGGAGGCAAGCCTATTGCACCTCTGTGCTCCAGCATTCCCTGGCTGATAAAATAACTCCATCAGCTATTGCTGCAAGTTCCTCGCTTCAGATCAGAGGTTCTCAAACTGTGGTCCGCAGATAGTTCCCTCTAAGGTGCGTGCCTGGGTGGCCACACACAAGAGAATGAAGGGCCACTCACCTAATTAGTGGAGCCGCGCAGGCATGGCTCCACTAATTAAGTGCCTGAACCCTGGAGAAGCTGCATATGTAAGGTGAGGTGGTGGCCTTGCGGGGGAATAAGGGGTAGGTGGGAAAGGCAGTGGGGTGAGAAGAGGGGCTGGGGGAATTTGGGATGTGCAGGGCTGCGGCAGCCAGAGAAAATGGTAACTTTCCCCAGCTCCAGGGCTGCGGCTGCCGGGATAGGACGGCCCTCCTTCCCAGCCTCAGCTCTGTGGCTACTGAAGCGGGGGAGAGACTCCCCTCCTTCTCAGCCTCAGCTCGGGAGCTGCCGCGGTGGGGGAGAGAGGGCACATCCATCGCATTAGAAAAGTATTAAAATATGAGTTCTGTGCTTTTATTTGTAGAACAAAAATCATTAATTATTGTTACTTTTTTTAAATATAGCACTTTTATCTAAAGCACTGTACAATAGTTAGCTAACTGTACAAACAACATTTGGAAAGATCATTAAGTGGTCCACCTAGACCCTCAGCAATTTTGAAGTGGTCCGCGGAAAAAAAAGTTTGAGAAGCACTGGTTTAGATAGTTCTCTCTCTATTTGCATGTTTCCTGCCCCCTTTTTAGAAAATGCTTCTCACTTATCCTACAGATACAGTTCTTTTAATTATAGGTACAGGAGCCATATAATGCCTTTTAAGAACTTTCACTCCCTCTGGGCCAGAAATCTGATTTAGAAAGAAAGAAAAACAAAACTGATGATGTGTTGAATGCAATGAGGAGTAAGCAAACAGTATAAATGATGGAAAGTATGTTTTTATATATATATTTCAGTTTTGGTCTAAATTGCTATAAGAAACATAGGTTTATAAAAAATACTTTTAACACAACACTGTGCCTTTTCTGTTTTGAGTTTTAAACTTTCCTCAGAAACATCACAATTTCTTAATGTGACATGACAAACTAAAATGGAAACGTCAAACTTAGAAGAAAAAGATGAACTCTTTGATCACCACAAGATGGTGCTGTGCAGTATTGTTTGAATCATGTTTACCATACCATCCATCTGATTATTATAGCTTTATAAAATAGGATCTTAGAAGGCTAAGATTGGTGGAACAGACCAGCAAGCTCTTTTCTTCTAAATTTAACAGATTAATTTAAGGAGCACCACTAGGAGCTTTGTAATAGGGCTGGTTCTCAGTAGCTGGCTCTATGCCTCCCCACACAGCCCATACCATAGCGCTATCCTAGGCAGGAAGGGAGGAGGAAAGGCTATAGCACTTTTGTGCTCCAGCGTTCCCTGGCTGATAAAATAACTCTTCAGGGGCCATCAGCTGCTGATGCAAGTTAAAGCACTCCTTAGGCAAGTTATACTAGTCTTTAGTAGCCTCAGGGACCAAGGGAGTATAAAGGTGACACACTGCCACCTTTGCCCTGTGCCTCCCACAGCAAGCACAGCTTGGGCAGATCCAAAGATCAGATCCATTGTTTCTTATTGCATTGATTCTTAATGTGCTCAAGTGCACACATACTTCCCCACCGCAGAGCTTTCTCACTAAGCTTTTCCTTAAAATCTCACACTGTTGCTGCAAGCTCTAATGCAGGCCGACAGGTACCAGTGTAACAGCTACCCTCTTGGCCCTCCATATGGGGATACAACTGGGGAACCTATAGAGCTAAAAGCATGAATTGCCACAGCTTTAGCTAAAGCTCTGTAGCAACTCTTCTTCTGTGGATCAGCACAGAGGGGGACCTTTAACTCCCCCTCCCCCCTTGTGGGTTACAATAGGTGGGAGCAGTGGTGTAGACAAAGTGTGAGTGGCCCTTGACATTTTAACTTGATATGGTGATAAAAAGTTTGCAAGGTGATTTACACTAGTGCTCCCATCGGGCTGCTGCTAACGCTGGTGGACTTGCACCGGAGCTACAGCAATGGTGGCAATTTTTTTTAAAGCCTTAGTGTAGACCCAGCAATAAACTATTATTTGTATTGCAGTAGAGCTGGAAGCCCTTAAGGCTTATCAGATGCTGAGGCCCCACTGTGCTAGGCACTGTATACACAACATTACAAAAAGACAGCTCCTGCTCCAAAGAGCTTACAGCTCTAAGTGGCATATGCACACTTTTCCTCTGATCTAGCATGATCTAGTCATTAGCATTTAGTCTGACTGCACAGTCACCAGGGTAACTGGTTCCTGGCTACCCTGTGTTAGAAAGGCCAGGTAGTAATAAGGCTGTAGAATAGATCAGTGGTTCCCAAACTGGGGTTCGAGAACCCCTGGAGGTTCGCGAAATGTTACAGGCGGTTCTCAGGAAAAAATTCTCTAATGGCGGACAGAGATGTCCCTAGGGAACCTGGGCAGCACGGGGCCAGCAGCCTGGAGCCCCTGGACTTCCAAGAGTTAAGCAGATCAAAGCAAGCATTGCTATCATGCTGAGGAGATTTAAACGTCAAGACTCCTTATAAGAAATGGAAAGGGAGGTGGATATTTTTTGCTGTTTTTAAAATTGTATAGGCAGCTAGTATTGCTTTTAAAATTATTATGAACAATTTTAAGCTTTGTTGTAATGTGCATTGTTTGCCTGGACTGCTCAAGACCTGAATGCTTGTGTAGGAGGAACTCTTTGAGTTGGCTTCTTAAATGCCTTCATGCTGTTTCACATCTGAAATATAGGAGCCTTGTCTTATAACAGGCTTATTCAAAGTGATACAAGCTATAAAAGTGAGATCTTGGAAGAGTGTTGCCGTTTTCATAATGCAATAAAAATACCGTAATGATAACTAATAATTAATAACAAATAGTGTGTAATGAGCATGTCATAAAAACAAATTTTATATTTCCAAGATCACTGCTTTTATAATTTATACTCAGGTAAAGGAGAAAATCCCTGGAAATATTAATTTTTAGGAGGGGGTTCACGAGACTTGACATATTAGTGAAAGGGGTTCACAGGTTGTTAAAGTTTGGGAACCACTGGAATAGATCATACATGACAACTACTCCTGTTCTTTAGCAAAATGCTTACGTCAAGTTTTTTTGTTTTGTTTTTTAAACAGGTGCCTAAAATTTAGGCACATAAATAAGTGACCTGATTTTAAAAAACAACTTCACTGGGAATTATTGGATGCTCAAGCCACTTATGTTGGAAATCAGGCCACTTAGGCCCTCATTCAACACACTTACATGCAGGCTGTATCTGGGCCTTATTCCTGCAAAGAGCCCTGCACCAGGTGGGCTCCTGAACCCATACAGACCACCATTGAAGTCAATGGGGTTTTGTATCACTGTAAAGAACAGCTTACATGGATATAGTTTCGGGTTTGAGGCCTTAGGTGCCCAAATATGAATTTAGGAGCCTAGCTTTATGCCTGTTTTGAAAATTTTGGTATTGGCATATTCCCACTCTTGCCTTGCCAGAAAGCTCTCCTACCTCAGAGTACCTTATTTAAGTTCAAAGGCCCATCCATATTTTCCTGTTTCTGGCTGGCAGATATGTGTACATCATGCAAAATGCAGAAAGAAAACATAAGCTACTCCCCCTCCATGTTTGGTAAGTGGTAGGCAGCAGGGCCAGCTGCACATCATGTTGCTATGGGAGCAGCACAGTATTTGTTGGAAGGGAACCCAGTTTGCACTCAAGTCCCCCAGTGATCTGGGAAAAAGCCACCCTAGGGTGGGTCAATAGTGCTATCAACTATTTTGCTGCATGTATATGGACGGATCGTACGGTCCTCCCCCCAGGTCTCTATCTCAGCAGTAAATTCCCAGCTGGTCGATGCAGCAAGGAGGTGCAGGAGGCGGGGTGAAGCCGCAAATGCCAGCCCTGGAAAACTACGTGCTGCCTGGATCCCGGCCAGGTCAGCGAAGCGGAGGCCGCCGGAGGAGGGAGGCAAGAGGCTGCGGATTGTGCTCAGACATTGTCCGCCCTTGGCAGGTTGGAGTCGAGCGGGACCCGGCTACCCCTGGAGGTGGGAGCCGGAGCCGGAGGCCCAGACGGGAAGAGGCGGCGCCGCGGTAAAACAGCCCGGTTGAGCGGCCCCGGCCAGCTTCCCCTTGCTGCACCCGCCCTCCTGGGATCGGCCGGCTGCATCCCCTTGGGCAGCAGCGGGGAGCGCCCTAGCGCACACCCCCGCGTGGGGAGTGTGGGTCCCTTCCCAGCTTCCCACACCGGGGTCTGCCCTGGCGCGGCGCTGGACTGGGCCTTTGGAGTAGGACAACGCCCCCCACGGCAAGGCTCCGCCCAGCCAAACCCAGGCTCCGAAATCAGCCGCAGCAGCCCTTGTCCTTCAGAGACGGGCGGCTCCAAAATGCCACCAGGGCTCGGGGAAACTTGGTTTTGGATCCAGATCTGAACTGCATGGCCCAGAGCCTGTCTCTGTTTATAGTGTGTGTTGTAGTTGTATGGCGTGCACCATACTGCTAACCCCAAGCATTCAAAAATCATGTCAGGCACCTAAAATTATGAGATTGGCTTAAAATCACATACACACTCTCTTTCTCTCTCTGACACACTTCTTTTTAGTTGCTGCCTGGTTTCTGAGCCTTTAGCGTGCACTTGGTTCACAGTTTCTCTCAAGCCTTTCTCTGCAACTGTGCACCAAAGCTAGGAATTGTTTCACCAGAGGCAGAGATTCTCACATACAGTAACTCCTCGCTTAACGTTGTAATTATGTTCCTGAAAAATGCTACTTTAAGCGAAACAATGATAAGCAAATCCAATTTCTCCATAAGAATTAAAGAAAATGGGGGAGGAGGGTTAGGTTCCAGGGAAATATTTTTTGCCAGACAAAAGATTATATTTTATATATATGTATACACAGTGTAAGTTTTAAACAAACAATGTAATACTGTACACTGCAATGATGACTGTGAAGCTTGCTTGAGATGGTGGAGTCAGAGGATGGGATATTTCCCGGGAATGCCTTACTGCTAAAGATGAACTAGCACTTAGCTGAGCCCTCAAGGGTTAACTCATTGTTGTTAATGTAGCCTCACACTCTACAAGGCGGCACGAATGGAGGGAGACAGACACCCTGTGTGACAGAGAGAGACATGCATTGCCCCTTTAAGTATGGTGATGCCACTCTAAGTTCACTGCCCTTTTAAGTAGATCAGCAAGTTAAGACAGCAGCTGCTGCCAGCAAGCTCCCTCCGTCCTGAGCCCTGTTGTGTCCCCCCTTGCTCTGTGGATGAGGTAAAGAAGTAGGGGGAGGGGGACACCCTGACATTAGCACTGTTCTCCTCCCTTCCCCCCCAGCAAGCAGGAGGCTCCCGGGAGCAGCTCCAAGGCAGAGGGCAGGAGCAGCACATGACAGTGGGGGGAGGAACAGCTGAACTGTCTGGCAATTGATAGGGCAATTGGGTGACTGCCGCACAAGGAACTTAGGGGAGCGGGGAGCTGATAGGCGGGCTGCCGGCCTACCCTGGTTCCAAGCCCCCACCAGCTAGCTGCAATGGGCTGCTCTTTCTGCAAGCGGTGGACAAAACAGGCAGCTGCCAAACAATGTTATAAGGGAGCATTGCGCAACTTTAAACGAGCATGTTCCCTAATTGATCAGCAACGAAACAACGTTAACCAGGATGACTTTGAGTGAGGAGTTACTGTAATCACTTGATTCCAGGAGCTGGAGCTTTAGAAAAACACCACATATTGCAAGACTCATGATAAAATTAGCAAAAATTGGCAACATGAACATCAGCTGCAAAGCTGGATCTATGTTCTGCTGTGTCCTTGACTTGCAGTTGGGCAAAATCATGTAACCCTGCTGTGCTTCAGTTCCCCATCTGCAAAATGAGGACAATAATACTCCCCTGCCTCACAGGGCTTTGTGAGGTTTAAGGCTCTGGTCCTAGAAATGCTTAAGCCTGTTTATAGTAAGTTTTGAGATCCTTGGATAGAAGGCACTGTAGATATGCAAAATATTATTAACTGGTAGTCTGTGTAAGCCTAAAATTATTACTTTATGTAAATTGTATGTATTGTATGTGAACAAATGTTCTATAACTGATTCTCTCAGTTTTATTTCCAGTGGGGAAAAATATGAGCATGCTACATAATCAAAATACTCCTAATTCCTCTGTGCAGCTGGTTATTTCAGTTCCTGCGGTGGAGGTAGATTTTCCAGCACCTTTTTGAGCAATTCAGATCCAGGGGAAATCCAGACTTAGAATGAGAGGTGGGAACATGGGAAATTAAGCCCTGTATTTTGCACTGAAAAGGTCTGTCTATGCTGCAGCTGGAAGTGAGTCTCCCAGCCCAGGTAGGCAGACTCCTGCAAGTGGGGCACCAGCTAGTGTGTTAAAAATAGCAGTAGGGGAGTTGTGACTTGGCTCTCTAGCCTAGGGGGTTGGGTGGGCTTGAGCAGCCCCACCAGCAGTCTACAGACTGCTGTTTTTAGCTTTCTTGTTCCAGCCCCACTTGCTCCAGTCTGCCTGCCTGGATGGGGAGGCTTGCTTCCACCTGCAGTGTAGACATACCTTTAGGGGTTGCTCTAAATGCCAGATAAAACAGCTTAAAATATGCAAACACAATGAAAACAAGTGAACGGCAGAAGTTGTCTGCTTTATAAAAGTAGTGCCGGCTGTTTTATCTGGTTACAAAGGTTTAGGGGGCTTTATTAGTATGCTAGTATTCATATTTGTATAGAAGCTCAGGCTCAAATCCTGGAAGCTGATCCATGCGGGCAGACCCTGGCACCTGCATGGAACCCTATTGAATTCATGAAGGTCCATTCGATTGGATTAGCTTGCAGGAGTAAGGCTTTAATTTGTATAGATTAATAGACTTTTGATTGTGTTCTATAACATGAAAATCTGCATTCTTAACTGCCCAAACCTGGTGCTTCTCCAGGTTAGTCATTAACTTCTAATAGGGTTCCCAAAACACTGCAGATCTGTCAGTGACCGTCAGCAATACTAATTAAAAGTATTATTGCCATAGTATGGGACACAAATTTTGTTTTCGAATGTGTGTCCACCACGACACAAACATTGTTGGCCAGAGTGCTTAGGACAGGCCACAATAATAATAATGACTGACACTTGTGCAGGTGTAAAGCCTTCCATTGAAAGAGCTCAAAGCATGCCATGAAATTTACAGTATGGCTTGCAAGTTGGCCACATCTGAGGGCAGAACTTGGATTGGATATATATATATATATATATAGAGAGAGATCTATATCTATCCAGCTATATAGAAAATCACTATACCTGACACTGAAATGCAGCCTCGTCTGTTATGGAAGGTGGCAGCTGTCTAACTACACAACTAAAAGAGAAGAGCACCTACCCAGTAGAATAAAAGCTTTAGACATCTATTCATTCTAACAGATATTTAGATACTAATCCTTCTGTGGTAGGTAATGAAACGTTTGAAATGTATTGGTTCAAGGTGAAGTCATGGATGGTTAACTTCTTTAACCCACTGTCCCTTCTCCAACATTTTGTACCTAGCCTGGATAGTATTTCAGTAGTGTGTAATTCAATTTATTCACCTCAATTTGGGTTATTGCTGATTATGCACTGTATGTATCTTATGACTTTAAAAACAAACTTTGTATTTGTGGATAATCTAAGCACTATACCCAGATGTGCAGACACTTTTTTCTTTACCTGTGTACTATATAATTTTTTAACGTTAGCTTTAACAAAATTTTTAAATCGGGTGCCAGCGAAGTGTGAATGAGCTTGTAAAAGGTCCTTGAGACAACCTGGCACACTCCTCATTTCCACCTGCACTGAAAGGCAAATAATTTCAGTTTTATGGCATAGTCCAGTTTTTAATGGCTTGAGTGATTGTACTGAGTTTGCTGCTAAACTGATGATGTGTGCATGGCTATTGCAACATGTAATGGCTTCTCAAATAAACCTCAAGATTTCATTCCTCTTTGTGAAAAGAAGATGCTGAGGTGAAAATTTATGCAGCATTGGTTGCTTAGTTACCAAATAATTGTCTTTTTTTTAAATATATGGGTTAAAAAAGAAGTCCAGAAATGAAAACATGAGAAAGAGTGAAAGCATGAGGATGAGAGAAGAAAATATTTTCTTATGTTTCTGTTTCAGAGAGTGAAAATGTCTTCCACCAAAGTGGGCTTTCGTCTGGCTGCCTGTTTACTAAACATTTCAGAAGCCAGAAAAAAAGATATTGTTGAGAAAATAGCTAAAGCTGCTCTTCATGATGATAATGGTAAGAGCAGCAAACAGAATAAGTTGGAATAGGAGCATTTCAATATGATGTTTATTAAATTGTATGCTCTGTTATCCTTGAGATAAATTATTACAATAGTTTAACTTTTTTTGGTGATGTTCTCAATTTATGGCCTTTTTTTCTTTTTTGCTGCTTGGCTCTTTTTTCCTAATATTTTTCCAGCACATTATATTTCTGCAGGGGGTACCAAACCAAAAAATCTATACTAGTGGTTCTCAACCGTTTCTGTACTATGACCCAGAGTTACAAGAGAAAAAGGGAACACGTGAAACTAGTTTGTGACACCCTCCCGTCCCAACTTGAGAATTCATGACCTGTATTTATGTGGCCTACTGTCATACAACATCCATTAACACAGATACTTTTTGCTGATGGCCTCATGATGGATTAGTAATACACTGTTTTTATAGCCCCTCCTAAGGCAGGGTCTCAAAGTGCTTACACACTTGAGTGAACCACGTACTTCCTGTGGGATAGGTGGGTAGTATTATCCTTGTTTTAGTGGTCCAGAGAGACTTAAAAGACTCAGAGACAGGCTACGTGATTTACTCCCAGTCATGCATTGAGTCAATGGCAGAGTCACAAATAGATCTCCTGGGCTTTACCTCAACACCATTCTTCCTCCCTAAGACTGGTGCTTGGGAAAACCTCTTGTGGAGAAGGGACGCACAGTCTCACCTTTGTCTCTGTCCGTTCTCTCTTTCCCACGCATTCACTGCCCTCTACTGTCCCTTACTTTATTTTTTCCCACCTTTCTGTCTTGTTTTGTATCTTACATTTTTTGTTTGCAGTTTATTTTATTTTTTGCTGCTCCCTCCCTCTTTCCTTCAGGTCTCTCTCCTCATCCCCTAACTGTTCTGGTGAGCCTGGCAGAGACTCTCCACTCTCAGCCAGCTATTGCAAGCCCCCTTTCTCCCTAGTCTCTGCAGTACAGCAGCACTGGCTTGGCTGATAGAGAGCATGGTGTAGTACTGTGTAACACTCCCTGGGGAGGGAGGAGAAGAGCCCAGGGGCATCTGCACCTTGCAGAAGTCTGCCTGCCTACCTTAGGGGGAGTTTGACACCATGATTTGGTCGGGAATACCTGCTTGATTGTATTGAATGTAGATATGCATGTTAGATAAATATGTCCCTCTGCAGAGAGTCAGCCTAAGGCCTACGCACCACTTAAGTCCCATGTAAGCCCTCAAATTAGAGTTTGTGTTGTGCATAGATGTTGTGCTGGCTGTTGCAGAGAGGTGAATTTCACCTTTGAGAAGAAATGTACCCAGAGTTCGCTGGAGGGATGTGTGCCATTGAGAGGGTAAATTTTAGTACAGTCAAAGAACTTTCTCTGGGGTCAGCTGTGTTTCATTGCCTCATAGCATCTTTGCTAATTAGATGCTTTTGTTGGGAACATGAACAAACAATCCAGAATATGAGAAATGCTGTTTAATTTTCTTGGTCTGAGAAAATGCATATATAGAGATATGTTTTAATCAAACCATTTATAGTAAAGCAGTTTGGTTGTTACCTAACCGGTGTTTTGATGTCCGGTTATAGACAGCATTAGCCCCACAGCCAAGTAGTAACCTATGTATTAATTCTTAATGATTACATGTTATATAGCAGCCAGAACACAGCATGGCACTTTTCAAAGACTTTTAAAAAGATATGCTCCCTGTCCCAGAGAATTTGCTGTCTACATATATGCATATTAAGCATGCCACTCCATTGCATTGATTTTTAACCATTTCTTTTTGTATTCTCTTTCAAACTGTTTTCTGATCTCTGTGCATTTAAACACTGGCTTGCATTTTGGAAGAAGATTGGAGTATCTGTGAAAACACCTGTTAAATGTTGAAGAAAACTCCTTAGGAGTTGATATGCAGCTGTAGTTTTTTTTGCTGTTAACGCAGAGAAAATGCCAGTTCTGGCTCATCATTTTCAGAAACAGCAACACTTAAAGTTACTTGGCTCTGTGATTAAGTGAGTGTACAAAGAAATATGCGGCAGCCAAACACTGATGGATGGCTAGGTCTTGACTCATAGTTTTATTAGCTTATTAGTGGCAACAGTTCAAATGGAATTATAGCTATTACACTCCATTACAAATATCAAACAATTTACTTCTGCTGAAATTCATGCTGACAGCTCTGTTTGCCAGCCATCTTTTTTTTTTTCTATACGGATATTCAGGGAAGAATGTTTTATTCTTTCAGCAATTTACTCAGTTGAATAGGATGAAAATGAGACTAAAAGCTTTTCAGATTGAAAAATAAATTCATGTTTTTTTCCCATCAGGAGCTATGTTGAAAAACTACTAAAATAGCAGGATCTCTGATCTCATTTCTGGTTTTCTTTCACCACAGAAAAAATAGGTGTGAGCTGATAAGGAATTTACAGTGTTTAATTGTTAAGAAAAGAGATTTTTGTGTTTTTGTAATTTTTTTCAATTAAACAAGAAAAACTTACGTGTGAAATAGCTTCAAGGTGACTGATGTAAATCAACATATCTCAGGAAATTCATTTAAAGCTGTTCTAAAGGACTCCCATTGATTTCATTGGGCTTTGGATCAGGCCCTTTAGGCTAAAATTCTAGGCTGATGCTTAGCCCATAACCACTTCTGTATTCTATGGTTTGTCTGGCAGTGGTAATGTGGATATGACTCAGAAAATACTTGCATCTGTTTCTCTCTCCCTCTGATTCTGACCTTTTGTCTGAATGTTATAATTTATTCACCAGAGGGCCAAATTCTGCCTTCACATGCACATATGCAGCTCCCATTAGCTTCGATGAGAGCTGCAACCACAAAGATGAGGTCAGAATTTGGCCTCCGACCATGTCTTTGCACCATGGTTTTCTGTAATTTATACCAGGGTCCTCTCTGCTGTCGCCTTTCATTCTCAAAAGTGTGTTGGGACATAGTTAATAAGGTCCCAATCCTGCAGATCGTTATCTAGCACAGAGTGTTAGTGGCCTCAGTGGGACTCAGGCTGTGCAGGCTCAGGGCTCTGGGTTAGTGCTGTTTGTAAGGTGGGGGGTTAAAGTAGTATTGGATTCAAATGGAGTACAGCTATAGAGTATGGTCCTGATGGTGCAGCGTGCTTTCTGTGTGACGCTGATCCCACAATTCCCAGGAGTGTCCCCCCAGCACTTGATGTCAGTGAGGAAGCATTCACGAGGAGGTATTGAGGGACTTGCAGAATCAGGCCTGGGAAGCTCACTCCTGCACTCCAAGCACTCCCGTAGAAGTCAATGGACTATGTGCGTGAGGAACAACCTCTTTGGTAGCAGATCGGAACTCCTGAAGGTTTCAATACACATATCATGAATACTCTAAATAAAGAGACATCATAATTTAGGCCCCTGTTCATCAAAGTACGTATGTAAGGACATGTTTAAGTCTGTCCCTGTTTAGCAAAACACTTAGGCCTAGATGCAAAAACAATGGGATGTCTAAATACCTTTGAGGAGCTGGGCCCTAAAAACTTAACTTTAACCATGTGCCTAAGCCCCATAAAGTTTGGCACATGCTTAAGTGATTGGTGAATCGGGGTCTTAAACATCTGCCATTTGATGTGTATGAAAAGTCTGAAATCTCTTGTTTTTCCTCCCACAGGACAGAAACATTCTCAAGCCACAGTACTTAATATATTTTCTGATTATGATTACAACAGATCAGTCATAACCATAGCAGCTCCCATTGATATGTTAGGTAAGAGGATCTGTTATGTTGTTTAAATATTTTTACACTTCAAAAATTCTCTTTCTTTCTGTTAATTTTCAGATAACTTCTGCTTTGACTGATTGGGGAAAGAAGGGCTCATCTCTGGTTTCCTGCCCTTTATAACTACCTGGAGGCTTCCTGGATAAATTGGGAGTTGGAATTGTTCAATCTGAACATTCTGTAAGTAGCAAGCCTCAAACACACCATTTTTAAAATGGGAGAACTGCCTAGTGATGGTATAAAGCTTCTTGGAAAATAACCATGTGAACTTTAGCAAATTGTTGAGGAGATTTTCACACACACAAATGGATAGTAGCCACCCAGTTCTCCTTCATGCCTCTAAAAATGTCCCGCTAAATAAATAAGGACAGGTTTCAGAGTAGCAGCCGTGTTAGTCTATATCCGCAAAAAGAACAGGAGTACTTGTGGCACCTTAGAGACTAACAAATTTATTAGAGCATAAGCTTTCATGGACTGCAGTTATGCAGCTGACGAAGTGGGCTGTAGTCCATGAAAGCTTATGCTCTAATAAATTTGTTAGTCTCTAAGGTGCCACAAGTACTCCTGTTCTTTTTAAATAAATAAGGTTTCTGTTGTTCCAGTGGGAAAACCAGTGGATCACTTCATGAAAAGAACTGTTACACTCAGATTACATTTGATAAGAGTTACCTGCAGGCTCAGTTCCAAAATGGATATCCATTTTGTTTATACACTTCAGAGGAAGTTATTCAGAGCTTTTGATGTGAGGTTAACATAGATCTTGTTTGGATAACTGAAATAATGAAAAGTGGTATATATTTCTAAAGTTACTTGGGACTGATGCTTTCTTAAAGCTATATAATGCCATTTCTTTTAAAACAGAATTCTCTGTGGTTTCCTTGTTAGCATGATCAGACTCTTATTTATTTAGCAATTTGGTAAAGTTCACAGTGATATTTTACAGTAATCTTTACACCATCACTAGGCAGAATTTCCGTTTGTTTCAAAAAAGGATGTGTTTTTGTGCTTGTTACTTTCATTTTAATTACTCATACATCACAACAAGCTTAACTCTGATCCCAGATGGATACTGTTCTTCCATTAGTAATCTCAGAACATAAACACACCATAGTGCCCTTCTGAAAAAGAAACATAAAATAATATATGTTCTCATTAATGTCCCATGTTGATCAATTTCTAATGCTAGTTCACATACATAAGTTTACTATAAATTATATTACACACTTTTTTTTTATGAAACCACATATACAATGTAATTCTAAAATAAAAGAGCAATTGTAAGTTCTTTTTCCAAAAAATTGTTGTAAAAATACATCAATTGATAATTCCCATTTAACAGTTTCCTTAACAAGAAAATGCTCCTGGATTTTTAATTTGTATAGATAAGATTATTTTGAGGAGAATACATTTCTTTCTTTGCCCACATAATATACACATTCTGACCAATATTAGATTTATCCTCTTACCTATTAATTTCCTCCATTAAGTGCTATGTTTTTTTAATAAATGATGTGATAAGTAAGTACATTGTTGTCACACAGTACCCTTAACATGATTTTTAATTTTGTTTTTAAATATGATGGAGAAATAAAATAAGACTCCTTTCCCCCCCCTTAAAAAGGCGCTATCCAGATATTTGGCATGTAAGTGAAAACAGTATATTGAGTAGAAAACAGAATGAGAATGTAAAGAGCCAGCAAATATTACACATTTTAGCATTCAGTACTTCAGTAAAATAAACTGTTACTGAGTTTGGTCTGAAACCAAAAACAGCAGGATACAAAATTAATTGCCTTGTGATGAGATTTTTATTTCATTCCAAATGTTTTTTAGTCCATTTCTGTGTTTAATGCACAGCTTTATTGAGGTAAGCACATTTCTAAGAGTTACAGGACCTTGAAATTTCCTCAACACATCTCTTCTAAGATCAGCGGGGGGAAATGGTGCTATTAATGTATAAAGTGAATTAGAAAGAGATTATCTGCACCACTTTAGTCCTGGAGCAAGAAGCTGACTGTAATTTTAACTTTCCTGTCTCTGTTGTTTGGTTTTAAATTAGTTGTGTTTTCAAATAGAATCCCTTCATGTGATTCAGAACAGAAGTGTCCTTCTGACTAATCCTCAGTGTTTTATTCAGGTTTGACTGATCCCTAATTGTCTATTTTGCATTTGTTAGGCAACTATGTCATTGCTGCCTGCACTGAGGCTTTCCGGTCAATTGATATGGCTATCCAGGAAGGAATCCATCCTTGCCTTGGAGCAGTGGACTTAGTTCCTATCTATCCTCTTTTGGATGTAGGCATGGAGGAATGTGGAAAAGTGGCTCAAAGTAAGTGGAAGTTTTAGAGTCCCAATTCTGCTGATGGGATTGACGAAGAGCAAGGATGATATTGTTCCTTACATTCTGTCTCTGGCCTTTTCTAGAATCGGGTTTAAGGGTACGTGTTTCAACTTCCCCTAGGCTTTAACATGATCAGTTTATACGACTTTAAATTCTAGCATGTGCATTAAGCATGTGCTTAAATGCTTTCCTGAATTGAGACCTGAACCAAAATGGGGTTAGATAAATTTGGCTCTCACAGCCATGCAACTCCATGCTGGGTGTCAAAGCCATGACCTCTTGTGGTCAGCAATGCTTCCCATAAAAAGAAGAACAGGAGTACTTGTGGCACCTTAGAGACTAACAAATTTATTAGAGCATAAGCTTTCGTGGACTACAGCCCACTTCTTCGGATGCATACTCTGAAACAATGCTTCCCATGACATTCTTTGCATTAGACAGAGTAGCTTGCTTGCAAAGCATTTTGGGACTCTTTAGGGTGAAAATATTCTGTTCCATTCAGGTTCTTGTACCTTCCCTCATCACTCTAATGTCTGAGCTCCTTTCTGAAATACACTGAACGATGTTATTTGCATTCATCACGTGATTTGTCATGTGATGTTATGCTGGTGACTTGACAGTGCTCCTCCTTCTGCAGCAGTCTCAGTCCCCGAAGGCCTGGGGATCAAGGTGCTTCGATTGAGACTCAAACTCTTCCTTTGTGTGTCACGGCTAGAGTGGACACTTCAGATAGAGATGGGTTTCTGACCTGTAGTAAAAGTGAAGCATGTACAAGGCTTCAGTGTTGGAAGGTTAAAATCCCTGCACACTAGCTGCCTTAAATAAGGCCTGGTCTACGCTGCGGAGGTTGAAATCGATCTAACTTATGCAACTTCTGAAGTCGACGTACTTAGATCTACTTACTGCTGTGTCTTCACTGTGGTAGGTCGACTGCTGACGCTCCCCTGTCGATTCCGCCTGCACTTTTCGCTCCAGTGGAGTACTGGAGTCGACAGGAGAGCGCTCGGCGGTCGATTTATCGTGTCATGCGATAAATTGACCCCCGCTGGATCGATCGCTCCGGAGGTAAGTTTAGACATGCCCTAACTGACCTGAAAGAAACAAAGCTGAAGGGAGTTTTAAGTGACTTTGCAGACACAAGATACACATTAGTGCAAGTCAAGCATATACAGTCAATGTAAGTGGATTCCAAACTGCAGACTTTATGCACTTTCTTATTACTCTAAAATCCCAGTGAAAAATCCAATTGTAACCACTGTGTTGTCTGTTATACATCTATAGGAAAGCTTTTGTGATAACAATATAAGCATTATTTAAACTACTGTACAAACAGCCTAAACCAAAATGAAAGGCTTATCCTTGACACAGTCACTGAATGCATAATCTAAATATCCAAAGTTAAAACAGAACCACCATAAAAGCAATAGTTTGAAGTGAAAGCAAATAATCCTGAGTAGATGCCTTCAGACCACTTGAACAAAAATTAAACAATGTGCATGGCCCCTTCAGGGCACTGTGAATTGGGGAGCTTTAATCCTGGTGTAGGAAGTCTCTGTGAGGTTATAGATTCTAATCTTTATGCTACCATTGCTGCATATGGCCTTGTAGACTATGGAAATATAGTACTGGATCAGAGTGGCACTGGAATGATGGGTCATCATAGTGGCATTCAGTATGGATAGGGTGTGGATTCTGATCCTTCCATTGTCATGTTATTTGTTTTTACTGCATTGGTCTCATTCAATTAAATCAAATCTAATAGTTTTGCTGTAAAGTTAAGCATTGATGTTGTGCTTTTAAAAATAAATTTCTACAGGCATAGCTGAGATTTTGACCCTTCGTGTCCCAGGATGCAGTATGTTTCTTTTTGGGCAAGCTGATCAACCTGAGAAACGAAGTTTGGTTCAGAGAAGAAAACAGCTGGGTTGGTTTAAAGGGAGAGATTTCAAGTCAATGGAAGTTAAACCTGATATAGGAGCTGTGCCTTCCCAAAGATACGGTCTAACAGGTAGGAATTGCACTGCTTAATACCTGGCTAAAATATAGAATCTGATATGGTTAAAAATGCTCACTGTGGCCAGGTCTGCAGCCCATTGCAGTCAATGGAATGCCTCTCACTTACTTCAATGGGCTTTGGATCAGGCCCTGTAAAAGGGCCAAATCCTGAAGCCCTTTACTCAGTCCATACTCAGGAGAAACTTCCATTGACCTATGTACCTGAGTAAGGACCTCAGGATTTGCCCTGTAATAGAATGTATTGAGAAAATATTAGTAGCCGATTTAAACACATAGGGCAGTGTTTCCCAAACATGGGACGCCGCTTTTGTAGGGAAAGCCCCTGGCGGGCCGGGCCGGTTTGTTTATCTGCCGTGTCCCCAGGTCCGGCTGA